GATATCTATTTGCCAACGACCCTTAATTTACAAAAAGTCTAGGATATCCCATACATGCATGTCTGGTTTACAAGTATTACTAAAGGTTGATAATTTTCCCTTAAACAATGCACTGCTTAACTCACATATACTTAAGCTAACAGGTCATTTAATTTCTTTGCTACTTACATAAATTATATCCACATGCAAGTTCGACTTTTAACCAGAATTTATTGGCACCAATTTAATTTATTTGCATCACATTTAACACAAATGCTAGGCCTTCAACAGCATACAGCTTCGTGTCGGTTGTCACTAGGCACTCCTAGTTTATCCGTTTACATAAGCACTCTTAATTTATCTATTTTCATAGCCACTCCTAATTTACTAAGGAAGGCCGAACAGAGAAAACCAGGAATAACAGAATGTATGCCTCACCTAGTGTATCACAGCATGCCGAACAGAGAAGGGAAAAAGAAACAAGAAATCGGTTTATTGATACCTTGTAGACTACACACTCCTGCTTTCCAATCGAACCCAGCCTAGCCCTTTTTGTTTCTTCAGCTTCAAAAACTTGCATCCAATCGCATGCAATGCAAGAGAGTGGCTCCCTCATGGATGGTTACAAGCATGCAGTAAAAGAATGAAAACACAGCAAGGATTTGTCAAGACCAGCAGCGGCTGGAACCGAGGAAAGAAAAAGTTTGAGTTTCTACGGTTACCTCTTTGCAAGAGAACAGGGTCTTCAATCGGTTCGATAGGTATCTCCAAGAGTGGTGCAAGGGTCCGTACCCTACTACTCTCCTAAGCCCACCGTCGCGGTTGCACGCAAGGAAACTATTAAGCCTTAAAATTGACTTCACAGCCCCTAGACGGATGTGGCTGGACCGAACTAGGCAGGAAGATTTCTAATTAGATTGCTATTCTCACATGGAGTTTGCGGCTTAGAAGGGAACCAGGGAAGTTTGCTAGAACACAGAATGTTTGGCCGAAGATGGGGGAGGAAAATGAAAGTATGAGTGGGCAAGGGGATGGTTCTTCTTCGTATGCAGGTTACGATTTGGAGAATCCAAAATGAGAAACAAGGACATGCACTCTTTGCAAGCCCTCCTTGAGGTCTACGGTCTTGAAGTGGAAAAAAAATGGTTGTGTTACTCTTTAGGAGCTTAAGAGGTGAATTCTTTAATTTTGTTTGGACACGATAATTTACTCCCCACTTAAGACTCTGCAACCGTGCTTGGATGAGAGGAACAATGGGGCTGGAAGGCTGATTGAAGGGCCAGCTCACTCTTTCGAGCGTCCCAAAACAAAGGAAGGGTGGAGAAGGATTTCTATCCAATAGATTTACATGCAACCTGTTTAATTCATACCTATTGGTTGCATGTTTTAAAGATAAATTATCTTCACAAGTAATCAGAATTTTGGCAGCCCTATGCGCACATGTGGCTGGATAAGAAAGTGAGTATTGCCATGTGTTGCTCTCTTGCCAATCAAAGGCCACCTTGTAGGATTTCTCAAGATAAACTAGAATAAACAAGGGTTGAACCAATATCCCTCTTAAGGCCTTTGGGCCGTCGGTTGCATGAGTGGTTGGGTCCAATAATTCAAGTCCAAGGTTCTACCATTTTATGAACTAGCCCACTAGGTCATTAGTTCCCACATCTTCTAAGTATCATTAAAATTCCTATACGCTACATTTAAATTATCCCTATACTTTTATCTAGGGTTTCACATGTCTAAAATAGATACTCACCCCCAATTGTAATTGAGGTAATTCCCTAGTTTAAATTAATTCCATCCTCTTAACTAGAATCCTCTATGATTTTATTACGTGTGGTAACTAAAATTTTGTTTTCATGTATCTCCTAATTATTAATTAGAATTTATATATCATAATTATGTCCATAGTATTCTCTTGGCTTAAAGCTTCAATTCCTAAAACACCTACTCTCCCATAGTTTACAATTGGCATAATTTTCGTGGTTTAGTTAAGCCCACTCCGAATTAATATATATTTTTTGAGTTCAAAGTAAGCTTCTATGTTCCTAACCAACAATTATATAATTTCCTAAATTTGCGGGATGTTACACACCACATGCCCCATCACCAACCAATTTTTATATACTACAGGATAGTACACATTAGTGTTTTCCCCCATCAACAGGAAAGCTTTTTTAATTTAATTTTATTATTATTATTATTATTTTAATTTTTGCCTTACCACCTGTCTAACTAAAGACACTTTTATGCACTTAGGGTTCTGATTTCTCAAAAGGTTAAAGAAAACAAAAATTATAAGATCACCATATTTCTGGGTGTTCTTCAGTCAGGCTGTAAAGTAGTTCTTCTGAAAAAAAAAGAGATTCTCTATAACATAAGAATGAGAGCATACAACATAAGAACTTATGTAACTACTTCAAAAAGTAAATGAGTAGAATATAAATACTGTGCATAAGTAGAGTTAGTGATAAATGGTCAAGGAGCCAACTACTATCAGCCAAGTAAGTCAGCAGAACAAAAACAACTTTGTAACAACCAAGAAAATAAATGAAGCTTTTCATCAGAACTCTGTAAATTGAATTGGAGCTTAGCATACATTATGGACTTAGATTGACAGAAAGGTACTATTTCTACTCTACTCCAGATGACGAGAGAGAATATGTCGTTCATTTGCTCTAAAATGTGAGAAAGATAAGGGCACGAGCCAAAAACTCTGAAAATAAATCTCACAACAGATTACCAGGAAACAGAGCTCATCAATATTAAAACAAGAATAATGAGATTTTGGTCACAAACATATATTTAAGAATCAAAGTGAAAGACATTGATTTCATTCATTTACTAATAGTAACAACACAAATTTAATATCTTCATACTTCCATATAAATGCTGGGGACTAACCCTTTAGTTGCATATGAACACTTTAAGAGTTTCGTACATTATTTAATATTATTTGTAGGGATGTTGATCAACCGATCCAAACCGATTCAAACTGCGGTGACTGAACCGAAAAAAAGATAACCAAATAAATCGAAAAACGAAAAATCGAAAACCAAAAAAAATCGCAAATTTTAATTAGATTGGATCGATTTTTAGATGAGTTAATGAAAACTGATTCAATCCAAACAGATCCAATATATTAATTCCCCTCTACCTACTCGGGTCTTTCCTCAATCATAGTCCAAAAATTTCTAAACTCAAGACCCATTAACCATTTATTTGAATTCGAATTTGAATTGGCTATGAAAAGTTGTTCCATAACAAAAGGATAAGATGAGATCTTGTTGGAACAAATCCCTTGTATCAAGAGAAGATCTATGGAGATCTCCAAGGGCTGATTTGGGGCGCCATTTTGGTGGGAGATGATTGTCATCTTGTCAAACCAACAAGCTCAAATCAGATTTGGTTGTTGAGAGAATCAGTGAGCTACTTGGTTCAAACTTGAATGCAACGAGAAAAAAAAACTATATTATACTTTACTCATGCTTTTGTATTTCAATTTTTTTTTTGTACAAAAGATGTTATTTGCACAATAATCATGAAATAAATTTTAGAATTTTCAAAAAATCGAAAATCGATCCAATACAAACCGAAAAAATTGAATTGGCCCGGATCAGATTTGAAAAAAATTCAAACCGAATGTATGATTATATTATCAAACCAAAGGGATTGGATCAGATGATTTTTGCTTCCAAAACCAATCCAATCTAGACTGCGAACACCCTAAATATTTGCTTCTCCTTTAATAAACTTTTGTCAACACAAAACATAACTTTCTTTAATGGATCTGGATCTTGTCATGTGAAAATTCACATGATCATGTCATGTGGAGAATCATAATCATACAAATGTGGATCAATGGTAATAAAGGAGGAGAGAAAAAAAATGTTAAAATAGGTAATTACGAAATCATAACCGTTGATTTATCTTTGTATGGTTGTGATATTTTCACATGACCATTTTATTTTTTTTTTTCATATGAGAGGATCCGATTCATGCAGATTCTTCCCCCAACTAACGAAGAGATCTTGGCAGAATTGCCACATATGAAATTGAGCACAACTTTGCAAAGAAATAGCCCGCTTGTAACATTTTTTAAGTCCGGTTGCGAGGTCTAAATATGAAATGAGGTATGAATCATAGTTCTAATATTTTTATTTTAAAAGAAATTTTATATATTCCGTGCTCCAGATACTAGAAAAAAGACGACAGATCCATTTTATGCTCTGTACTATGAACAAGATCAATTATAACAAATCACACACTCATATTCCGGAAATAAAGAAACAAAGAAATTCCACGGTCGAACTACCAAATGAAAATAGAATAGGCCAAAAATAAAAAGAACTAACGACCGCTTGTTTCTCAAGAAGAGATGAGAAATATGTTCAATATCATTTGATTCAACATTTTCGTCTTTAATAGATTACACATTATATTACTTTGAGAGAGAAAGAGAGACCGCACCATTTAGTAATATTTGGTGGCAATACCTGTAATTGAACCAAACCAAGAACTTCAGCAGATTCATATCTAACCAATTGACAAGTGACTACTGTTAGAGAGCCCAATATCTTGGCTTCACAAAACCCATGCCAGGGTCAGAGTTAAATTGAACCATGAAATTTGGGCCGGTAAAAATAAGTAAAAGAAATTGCATCCAAAGCAATGGCAAAGCCATTTGGTGGCTAGCTGGTGTGTTGACACCAGTCGATTTTCAAAAATATTATATATTTTCAAAAATTATAGTATAGTGTTCGCATTGGTTAGATTTTTAAAAATGATACAACATTGACACTAACTGAATTTTGCTAATTGGGTTTTTTTTTACGCTAGCTGGATCTTTTCTCTGGCTCTCCTGGTACGAAAGGTTCTTGAGCAAGTGGTAAAATACTGATCCAACAACTACTTTTTCCATGTCAGTTACATGGTTGTTCTGTTCCAACGAAGAGAGATTGCTTGTGTAGTTTAAAATACACAGGTTATCGGAGATAAAAAGTACAGTCCCCTGCATCCTCGTGATGGTTCATGCGGATGCATCTAGTGATCTATTCTTCAACGGAGGAACATTATCATCTGCAACAAACGCTTTGGATGCCTATGCAATTATAGCCAAACTAAATCATGTTAACGATGATAGAAGAAGAATGATTTGTTAGGTCGAATCCATTAACAGTGCGAATGCGAGCCGTCGTTCAACAACTTTGACATATCAAAAATATGATGTGGTTATTATTACTGGTAAAATCAAGGAAAAATTTCACTTTCACCCACCCCACTGTGGTTGCAACAATTATCAATTAGCCATGTATCCAAACGAGAAAAGAACTCAGGAGTATTCAGTGTATTTTTTTATTTTATTTTTCATTTTTAATTTAGAAAATCGTTTAGTTTAGTTTTTAATCTTTTCTATTGCAATAGCTTTCTATTATCTATTATATTGCTATATATATATATATGTTTTTTTTTTAGTAAATTATATATGAGTTTGCTTTTTCTATAATCAATGTAGATAACTTATCTACATTGAGCCCAACACGATTCGTTTCCGGTCACCTTATTATCGGGGTACGGCCATGTAGGCTAGCCCCTCATTAAAAAGGATGAGACTAATCTCCCATTCGAGGAAAGAGGCACATCCTCTGACCCACAAAGATTTTTCAAGAATTTGCTTGAGACAGGGTTTGAATCCCTTACTCAAGCAAACCCTTGGGAGCTCAGTTACCAACTGAGTTACCCTCGAGGGTTTATATATATGTTTTTTTTTTTTGGTATATATATATATATATATATATATATATATATATATATATATGTTTTTAATTATAATTTTTATGTGACATTTTTAAAGTTTTAATTTTCAAATTCTTTTTATAACTTTTTTTAATTCTTTTTTCGTTTATGCTCTATATTTGTTTTATTACAATCAGTATATGTCATTTTTTTTCTGAAATTTTAATTCTTTATAATTCTTTTCATTTCTTTCAAACTTTTTATTATCTTTTTTGACTTTTCAAAATTTTCATTTCTATTTTTTAAAACTAATAATTAAAGTTAATTCATTTTTAATATATAAAAATGTATTTTTTATATTAATAAAGTTCCATTTAAATATTGTACATATTTATAAATATATATTATCTTTCAATTTTTAATTTTCAAAATCTAATGATAAGAAAATTCAAAATAATATTATAATTTTATTTGATTTTGTGCATATTTTTTTGATAATATATTTTTATGCTACTTTGTAATAATATTTATATACAAATGCATATAAATAACATAATAAATAGAAATCAAATTTAGCACATGCAAAAAAATATGTAAATATAATTAAAATTGAGTGATAAAATTATTTTATATTATAAAATTAAAAAAATTTATAAAATATTTTTGTCTTTACAAAAAAAATATCTAAATAGATTTAATTATTATGTGACTCGACTTTACATACTTTATACAACTACAAATATATTTTGACTAGTTTACTTAATAACATTTATTTATGAAAAAAAGTTATGCACATTTATTGTTGTTTTGAATAACCTCAAAGTTAATTAAAAACAAATTTATCAGATAGAGATTTTGGGTAGCCAGGGAACGGATCTTATATTAGAACAGGGAATGATCTTTAATGTTAAAAGAAAGAAAGATGTATAATGTTGATGCAGTTTCATGGTGACGTATGTTGTTACACTTTTGTTGGCCTCCACGTAAGCAACGAGGTGACAAACTTGTAAACTACGTAAAACAAAGAATGTCAAAGCTTTGTAACTGTTTACCTTTTCCAATTCATACATTTTGGCGCCAACATAACAAACTCTCTGTTTTCCACTTCTCTTCACCTTCATCATTACCCAAATTCATTCTTGCAGTTCTTGAATGTAGACTAGTGCCCCTCAGGAATGGGAGCTTATCAAAGTATCCATGTTGGCAAAGGTTCATTGAAAAGCTTCAATTTTTTCAAAGTTGTTATTTTATTATTTCTCATTTTCTTCTAGGATTTTGCGTACATAACATCGTTACCAAGTAATTCTTTTGACTCTGAATTTTGTGCATGGCAGCGAAGATCAGGTTTGGATTTAATTTGTTTTCAAAGCTATGCAGTTCTTACATGCTCTCACATCGCAGGTTTATGACAACTCCATGATTCAAAAAAAAAACTACGTTGAGAATGTTTTGTTTGTATATGTTTTGTTTGTATAATTCTCTGACGATGTTTTTCATGAACTTTCCAACAGGATATCTAGTACTCTGCTTTCTCTGGCTAGTAACAGGTGCGCGATTTGGTTTGATTTCTATTGAAAGTGACATCAAATTGGGTTCTTGTATTTCCATCAATAATGAGGTGTAAGTGCATAACCAAGTTTTTTTTTTATTTTTTTTTCAATTTCATTCATTCATTGCAGCCTTCACTTGAAACACCCTGGCTTGTTTGGTAAGAGTGATATTTTTGATGTATGGTGGCATGATGACGGGCTGGATGATTTAAACATCTTGATTGCTTATAGGTTCCCTATAGCCAAATTTGATAGAATGCGGTGTCTTACCATTCAGGTTTGTGTTACATTTGGGTTCAAACTTGATTGTGTATTCATTTGTAGGAAGAAAGATAGCATCATAGCAAGGAACTCATGGCATTGAAATTTTTTTCCCTTTACAGTATTCAGTTTCACCCGAGGTTAGGATCCATGGAATGCCCGTGAACAATTTCTCCCATTCCGTAAGTCAAGATTTAAGGTTGTTTAATTTGTCAATCGGGTTGCATATGAATGCTGAGGCTTCATTCCCTAATTGGATCGATACAACCTCTGCATCCTTGAAGGTTGGTGCAATTAATGTTGGTTTTCATTAAATATTACCATGCATTTCGATTCTTGGTCATTATTGTTGGGATGAGAATTAATGAATTGGCACGATCAATTGTGTAGACTATTCATTTTATGGATGACGGAGGCAGCCTTAGAAGCTTAGATATGGATGGTTTCCCAATGACTCGCAGGTTGATGAAATTTGTTATACTCATTCCTGAGACAATCCGTTTGAATAATTTTTACTTATCATATAGTTTTGAATTCCATATAGTGGAACTCCATTTGAGAGCACGATAGTGCTTAAGCATGAGTCTCGATTTGCAGAAGCAAAAGATCGCCATTTTACTCACGTAAGTTATGTTCATTGGTTATCCAAGAGTGAGAGATACTCCTGATGCAAAATTGTAACCATCCCTTGTGTACAAGTAATTTACTAACTACAAGTTAGTCTATATTCAGTTCAATTTACAGGTGGAACAAGGGTTTACACTTCATCCAAACTTGCTATCCTTCCTTCGGTTTAAATTTTTTGCTTCAGAAGGAACCAAACTTGGACCAGCACTTCTCTCCTACAGGTGAGTTCTATGTCCACGTTCAGGGCTTATCATGCATTACTGCCTTAGCCACTAGGGCACTGCTCAAGCATTAAGGGAGGGGTGGGGTTTGATAAATGTCTCAGGCTCTTAGGTTTGATAATGGTGAGAAATGGAAGCAATTGAGTGAACTATAAGAAGTGATAAGTAAACAATACCATTATAAGTGAAGGGCCAAAAAAAATCTTGATCCGGAAGGATGGAGAATGTCTAACTGGAGGTTAGTATCTGTATTTTGGATCAGTACGCTTTGGAAGTTTATGCAAGAACAGATAACTGTGCACAATAACAATGGCATATAGGCGAAGGTATGGGGTGCATGTACAAGAAGAGCTAAGAGAGTATGGGGTTAATAGTGTGTACATGATGGGTTTAACTCTTTATTTATAGAAGGAGTAACCTCTAGGTGAAGAGTCCTTATAGGAGTCAAATTGTTGGGGAATAGGATAAGTAATCTTCTCGCTTATCCCTGAATCCTATCTCTTATCTCTTCAACTTATCACTTGTATTTAGTTGTTACTTCTGGAAGCTAACAGCCCATAGCATGACTGCAGATCACAACTTGAGATAGTATTCACTTCCAATTTTCTTATCTTCTTATTTGAGTACATAAATCCATGTTTCTTTCCTTGTATTACCCATATCAGTTTTCCAATCTTATCTGGCAGGTGTACTGGTGGTTCAATTGTAGGATCCTTTGCTCCACATCATGCATTTGCAATCGGTGGTCCCAGTAGCGTGCGAGGTTATGGTGAAGGTGCTGTTGCTACTGGACAATCATGTTTAGTATCTACAAGTGAATTGGCAATCCCATTGGTAAAATGCTGGTTACTTTGCATGTTTTACAAAGAATAAGTACTACCAATTGTTTGTCCTTATTTTTTATCTTTCCGATTTTGTTCCCTATGTGATATCCATGTACACGATGTAGGCAGTTCATGCTGAAAATTATGAATGCTCTTTTACTAAGGTTATAATTTATTGGTATTTATCTAGTAAATGTTCTTAGCTTTTATTTTCCCGAGTTGGATTTGGGTTATATCAGTCATTATCCATACAGTTGGAGAAATCATGGCCTCCGATTTGGAGTCCTAGATTGATTGTTTTGGAACCTTGGATATCAACTTGGGGCAAGTATCAGACACTATTTGTAGCATTGTTTGCAAAGACAACTTGTCTTCATGAGTATACTTGCCTTCTGTCACTGGTTCTGTTTGTTCAGATGTAGCATCATTCTTCACCTTCCTACTTCAAAGTCTCAACATTATCTTCCTCATTACTTAATGTCAAAACCGCTCTTTCCTTATACCTTTGGCAAGAAGTTAAAAATCTTGCATTGAGAGGTTACATATTCAAGAGTTTAAATCATTACCAAAATATTAGCTACATTCCATCCTTGATTTAATTTCAGTTTGACTTTTTCTTATATCATTCTCTTAATCTACAGAAAAGCTAGCAAACACGGATGAAAATATCTTTGCTTCAAGTTTTACTGTTAGTGACGGGAAGCATGGCCTTCATTATATATCATGAAAGTCAGATAATCAACGATCATCTTGTCAAGAATAAAACACATTCTAATGTTCTAAATAAAATTTCTAGTACTTGAATATTTTTGGCTATTGGCCCATGATACTGATGGAAATCTCCATACATATCCACTGTAATTCATTTCTAAGCATTTGTAGCATTTATAATTTATACCAATCATTGTTGCTGACCGCCTTTCTTACTCTACTTACAGAACAAGAAACTGACAGGTGTTATCTTCCTGGACTTGGGATCTGACCTGAGGACTAGTCGTCTAGTTCCTGGTGAGTTTCATTGAATCACTCAGAAATCTAGTTACAAATTATTATCCTAAACAACATTAGAAAATATTTCTTACCTTAATAGGCAGTGTGTAATTTAAATTAACCTTTTTTTTTGCCATTGCGAAGTAGGAGCTATCTATAACAACAGTAACCAAGCCTTATTCTCAATAGGTGGGGTTCTTAGCTATATACAAATTGTTAACCTAGCGTTGTGTTAAAGAATCAAGGTCTGTGAGTACTTAGCCTTGGGCAGGATGGTTGTAGGGACTAGATGTTGATATATTCAAGTGTGATGAGTCTCACATTGGTTGTAATGGGCTAAGTGAAGTAAATATAAGTGGATGGACCCATTAAACCCAATGCCTTACAAATTTTGAGTTGTGACATGATGTCAGATCCATTTGTTACAGTTGGCGTAACTTAGCCCATTAGTGATAGTCTTCCGCCACAGACGTCACGTGGACCCGTCTCACACTACTAACACAAATAGTAGCCTCAGCCTTGAAATAGGCTAGATATCTTCAACATTGCTGGCTTTGATATCACTACACATGATTGCATGCTTCTGATTTCTTTAATCCATAAACCATGACATCCCCTTTATAGTATCTCTTGTTTTAAACTCTGAATATGTGCTGAATTGTAGTGGTATCTTAATAGTTTGCTTTAACATTTTCATCCAATGAGAATTGCAGGAAATCCAGGACGTAGGCAGGGTAAACCGGGATCTGGGTTTGGGTTTGGGTATGGCATTCGGTTCAACACCCAGTGGGCAGAAATAAATGTTGATTATGCCATCAATGACTTTCAAAAAAGAACTGTCTATTTCGGATTTAGCAATCTGATTCCATGTTGAATGCATACATGGCTTATTGACCAAATTTCCAAGGCTTCTCCACTCTTTAGTTAGAATGTAACAGTGTGAAGGGCTTTTGCTGTGTCTGGGCCGACAGCAACCTAAGATGTCTGATGTATACATTCCTCATTGTTTGCACATTACAAAAACCATTGTTTCACCAAATAAAGGAAGTCAATGAGCTTGATTAACACCAACGTTTAATCTGTGTTTAGGCTTCCATGTTCATGTTACTGCTAGTGTTAGTCCACGTTTATGGATTCTTCCTGCTACGTTTATGGCATTCTATTTTGCTTTTCTGAACTTACTGGAATGTCCTATAATATACCTTTTGATATAATTGTTCATTCTTATAATATCAGTAAATGTAAATGTAAAAGACCGACATTAAAGACAAACCCCATTCAAATAGGAAACTTTGGTTGAGTGACCATCATAAACACGTTATTCACTACGGGGCAATAAGATTGCGTGACAAAAAGCATTCACATGCTATTTGCCATGTGAAAGAAAGAATCTGCAAATTAACTTGGTCTAGGTCAAAAAAATAATAATTGAAAATTACTCTAACAATTGAAAAAAAAAAATTATCAATTACTATATTGATATATAATTTGTCTAACTCTAATGCAATGTGTTATTTATAAAATGAAAATGTTCTTACCAAGGTCTAAAACTGATTTTTCTTGAGAATATGCTTTTTCGTTTCTCTTGTATACGATTGATTTGCTAAACAAAATAAGGATAGCATAATACCCCAAAAAAAAAAAAAAAAAATTTACTATGATTGTTCAAATATAATAAGTACCGTGAGAAAACTCATGAGACGACCCATATTTCTACATGTTACAAGATTTTATTAAAATAAAAAAAAATCTCACAGACTCATACCTTTCATTATGCAACCATATAGTGTCTCCTAATCTATCAAATGCAACCATGTAGTGTCTAACATCTGAGGCTTTTGTTTAGAAAAAGTAAAAGTGGATGAGCTAATGGGAGAAATAACGATTCATATTTATTTATTTATGGAAAAAATATTTATTATTTTAAAGGATACATTATTATGTCATTTTAAATGAAATTATTGTATTTTGGGGGATTTTTACTCTTTTTTTCTCCTTTACAATATTCTCTTTTACTCTCTTCTCCTAATTATTGTTATCAAAAAAAAAAAAAAAAAGTGTACAGGAAGGTCACAATTTCATCACAAAACAAAACAACACTAGATGGGGTTTGGCATCCCTAGGAAATGAACAAAATCTGTGTGTTATAAATTTATAATGGCTTGTAATTAAAAAAAGAGAGAAGCAGATAAACATGAGCATGAGGAGTGGGCCCTATGCAATTCGATCTTCATTGCTTCTTTTATAGTCTTAAACGGGTAGTGTAACACTCGGTAAGCTCGCACTCTATATAAACCTCTGATTCACTCCTTTCTCCTTCTACCTCTCTTTTTCTCTGTTCCACATCCAAATTTTAAACCGAGAGGTTCTGGTAACTTCTGGAATCTTCCTCTTCCTCTCCCTTTCATCTTCAGATCTGATTTCCGTTTATTCATTTTGTGATGCTTTTCATTTAATTGATTGTGTTTTTTTTTCCTTCTTTTTTTTGGCTAGGAAACACGATCGAGAACTCGCGAAACGGTTTTGTAGAATCTGTGATCTGGCGAGCCATGAATGCTAGAAGGTTCGTGTGGATTAATAAATACTCTTTCCGATTAATCTGTTCTTTCAAGTTCTGTAAAAATCGTGTCGGTTGTTATTCGATTCGATCACGCTAGGAGATAGTTGTTTGTTGCTCCAGATCCGTGTATACGGCGTAGTTGGAGGGTTTTGGATTTTCTATCTCTTGATGACTTGATAAGTATGATTTATTGGTGAATTGCGGATTCTAGCTCTGGTTGTGTTTCATTTTGGCATGAGTCTGTTTTTGTGAAAATGGTATTGCGTGGAAGGAGGTTGGTGAACCGGTGATACCTGTGATTTATAGGTAGAGCGTCAATGCTCTTATTGATCTTAAGTTCCTCTATTCAATTATCCCTTGCATCTTCCAATTGGAATAAGAATAGCTTTGATCATTTGATGAATGATGACTTGAGTTATTGGTGCCATGTAGGTTCCTGTACCTAATATGAGGTGAGGTGTTTTATAACACGATGCAGTCGATTCTTAGTAATTAATTGATTCCCTTCTTCCTTGCATGACCCATCAGGCGGTTAAACCCTTTACTCTTGTCTATCCATGTCAATAGACGCATTGGAGGCTTTGAGTGGACATTAGTAGAGAGATTATTCTCTGAATGTGAGGGAAAATTTACAAAATCAGTTCACTGGTGATGGGCTTGGGGTACCTATCAAACACTTGTGTGACAACATTCAAGAAACATACTAACATTAGCTTGACAGAACAAGTCTGTTGCCATGACTACCAAAAATGACAATGTGGTTGATGTTCATCAGGAAATAAGTTTATGCATGTATTCTCCTGTACTCAAGAGGCTTTGATGAAGTTGTGGTTGGATACGCGAGTGCGTAACATAATAAAAGTTGGTTTGTTGCTAACTTTGTTTAGCAAATATCGAGTTACTTGATGTAGATTTGTAGGGTTTTGCTCCCCGAGATCGAGGCGAGGAGTGATTTTGTACTCAAATCCAAAACTTAACTTCTTTTTCTCTTTCTACTATCTCCCTTTCTTTCAGAAACACACATGCTAGTACAGTAGATTATTTGGTGGAAAATGGGTTCTGCTGCACTAGTTCTTTTTTTTTGTTTTGATCAGTTGTTAGGGGTTATTTGGTCTCTATTCATCAGTTCATAAGGTTATTGTTTAGAAATGCTGAAGCGTATGTATCTTTTTCCCCCGATACTAGAAATGCTGAGACAGCCTTTTTTTACTTAATATTAAATTAATCTAACTCGGATATCTTATGCAATTGTGGAGATGTTAAATGACTCTGATAAGTCTAAACTGTTCAAATGTCTAGAATTGAATATTATCTTGCTTGTGTTTATTATCTGACCATTTTCACTCTTATTATTATTTTCTATATCAAATATAAATTATTTTTTTCTGTTACAGAGACATCCGTAACAACAGAGTTGCTCTTTTTGATGGTATTGAGGAGGGTGGCATCAGAGCATCATCTCTTTACTCATCAACTTCTTCACATGAGATTGATGAACATGATAATGAACAAGCAGTGGATGGATTGCAAGACAGAGTCAATCTGCTGAAAAGAGTAAGTGCACTACCGCTCGCAACATGCCCTAGACTCCCAGTTAGCTCTTCCTGTACATAAATAATTGATGCACCTTGTAATCATTTCTTCATTTTGTTTCAACTATATTTTTTTTGTTCAGAAGTTAAACGTAAATTATACTACAAGAATTGCAACCTTCTGGACTTCAAAATTGGAAATTTGCTTTGATTAATTTTAATTTTCAAATCTTGTTATTAGGGTCCATCTTCTTCGCTGTTTGACCAGATTTATTTATAATCTCACTTCTATAATGGTGTAACTGGTGCTGTTCACTTTTTTTGGTGTATTATAATATCTATTTGGTTCTTGAAACCCTTTTTCTTGTAGTGTGTTTGAAGATCTTGAATGTTTGTAAATGTGTCTCGTAAAGATGTAAACAGGTGTGAAGTTTTGTGATGGTTTAAATTTTTTTGCCGTATCCACTAGAATTGAAGTTTTAATGGGTGTGATTGCAACAGTTGTCAGGTGATATACATGAGGAGGTGGATAGTCATAACCGCATGCTGGATCGTATGGTGTGTACTGTCTACTGCAATTTTTGAAAGTATTTGCTCTGCTATTTATTTGTTCTGTGATAGAAACTGGTTTTAGAATGGATATTTAAAGGATCTTAACACACTTTTTGGGTGCAGTAAACTCGATTTTCTGATATTTCACTAAAAGACAATACCAAATGGAAAAGTACAGAGAAATAAATTACAATTGAAAAGACAGATTACAGTAGATGAAACTATATTACTCGAATTACAGAAATCTATTAGCAAATGGAAGACATAAAGACTGGTTCAGCACTTTCGAGAGGTGCTGATCTCTCCCAATTCCATCCTAGCCTCCCTTCACGTATCTTCTGCCTTTTAACCACTTATCTCCCTTCTACTGCCACCTCAGCACTTCTAATAGAAATGGAGTTTCCCTCCAACAACCTAGCCTCTTGAATATTCCCTTTTTCAGCTGAGTCATCACCTTTAAATAATTCCCTATGGCTTTTCCTATAGTACACTTTGAAGGGGATTGTATCAATATTCCCCTCCCTAGGCCAAAAAATAAATAAAAAAATAAGGTGAACTTCAGTCCTCAAGAACCTTATGCCAGGATCCCATTGCTTGAAATGCAAGAGCCAACTTATATGTAGTGCATGATGAGCTCCACCTGGATCCCATTCCCATATTGCAGTAGCTCTATCGTCCACAAGAAAAAAATGTAATGTATTGAGAGCATTGCTCGCTAAACCAAATTGAAGTCGTAATAAAAGATTGTCTGACATGGGTGTACCTTCCCTTTGTTCATATTCTCTCGAGCAAATTTTCCTTGCTTAACCCACTTTTTGGATGCAGGATTTTCTGGTCCAGATGGACTGATGGGCTCTCACAAACCCATTCATAACATAAAACAGAGACCAAGGAACCTCTGTCATTGAGTTGGGCTGAATTGATAGTAATTTGGGCTTGGTCCACAAATCTACCCCACTCCATCTTTGACTTTCGCTTGGTGATGAAATCTAAAAAGAAGTAAACAGTATTAACCATGTTTGGATATTTTATTACCTTAGCCTCCTTCCCACATTTTTTTAACCATTCGTAGTGTCTCCTTTGCCAATCCTGCAATGGGTCGAACCCTACCACTAATACAAGGGTACCTCGGTAATCCAAACCAGAAATATCCCTCACATTGCATCCGCTCAAGTCCCAATCTGACCTGATTGTCAAAAACATCTTCCAACATCTTCTATCAGTAACCCCAAATGTTTAGCAACGAGTTGTTGAGTTGTGGGATCACCAGTGCCATCAGTGTCCGTTGCTTCCTTTTCTTCGTCGATCTCCAAGAGGTTGAGTTGTGAGATAGTACAGCGATGGGTCGGACACCCATGCTCCTCACCCTCGGCTCCGTTGGAAGCCCCACCCTTTGCTGTTCTCAAAACAAATAGGATAAACAACTTGATTAACACCCACATTGGGGGCGAGCTACTTGTCAGTCCCAAAGGTAGTATGTGTGGCCTTTATTTCATCACCTGAATGGGCCGCACAGGATAAGTGAGTCACGTGCCTCCCATTAACAACATTTTGGGTTGTGCTAGCTGAATGCGTCAACCCTGGTGGGCCATTTTTGCCTAATCTAACCCATTTAGAGTTTCCTCCAACCTCAAATCGATCATGCACCCATGCTCTGTTACATCGCTCACTCTGCAATATTTTGTGATTGTGGCCTTTATCTGCTTCAGACCTAGATTCCGATTCAGAGGAATCTCGACTCCTCTTGCGAGAATGACCACCATGATAGTGCTTGTCTTGTCTTCTTCGTCTTCCCACCCCGTCTTGCTGCTGCTGCTGAAGGATATGTAAGATTTCCATCAACTTCTGATCAATTCTACGACTTCTCTCTTATGCAATTTCGTCATTCCGACGGAAGCGTTCTACTATGGGTTTGAATCCAGCGTCCATATTGCAGGTTAATACCATTCAAAGCACTCCTAGGATCAGAGTGAAATTGGTTTTAGAATGGATATTAAAAGGATCTGAACACACTTTTTGGGCCCAATAAACTGGATTTTCTGATATTTCACTAAAAGGCAATACCAAATGGAAGAGTACAGAGAAACAAATTACAATTGAAAACAGAGATTACAGTAGATGAAACTATACTACTCGAATTACAGAAATCTATTAGCAAATGCAAGACATAAGACTGGTTCAACACTTTCGAGAGGTCCCAATAAACTGGATTTTCTGATATTTCACTAAAAGGCAATACCAAATGGAAGAGTACAGAGAAACAAATTACAATTGAAAACAGAGATTACAGTAGATGAAACTATACTACTCGAATTACAGAAATCTATTAGCAAATGCAAGACATAAAGACTGGTTCAACACTTTCGAGAGGTGCTGATCTCTCCTAAATCCAGCAAAGCCTCCCTTCACATATCTTCTGCCTTTTAATTGCTTACCTCCCTTCTACTGCCACCTTAGCATTTCTAACAGAATTGGGAGTTTCCCTCCAACAACCCAGCCTCTAGAATATTCTCTTTTTCAGTTGAGTCATCACCTCTAAATAATTCCCTACGGCTTTTCCTATAGTACACTTTTAAGGGGATTGTATCATTCTGCTTTAATAATCTGTTGGTATTCATATAGGGCAATGATATGGATTCTTCAAGAGGAGTCCTCTCAGGCACTATGGACAAATTCAAAATGGTATGTAGACTTTAATCCTGTATGCCCTTTTAAGGATTGTCTCCATTTAGTTTTTCATTATTCTATTTATTCGTCATCTTCTGCTTTCCTTTTTAGTTGGGAAGAATAACAACAGATGGGGTGGGGGTAGAGTTGTGTCTTCCTTCTCAGGATTAATTTTTTTTATTTTTCCATGTCTGTTTTGATGATCAACTTTCAGGTATTTGAAACAAAATCCAGCCGAAGAATGTTTTCGCTTGTAGCATCTTTTGTGGTGATTTTTCTTATAATATACTATTTAACTAGGTGATTGGTCTTTCATTCAACTGTCAGCTTTATGTTAGATCCGGAGGGAGGCTACTTTCTCTATTACTGTAATTAATGTTTCTGCTACTTGTAAGATGTTACGTTATGTTTGTATAAAGATTTTAACTTTTTAAACAGGTATTTAACACAATAAGTAATGTCCATATCTAGTTTGTGTATATTTCTTCATTCCCTTTGGTTTAAGTTATGCATGTTTCATTTATACTTTACATCCATCTCTGTCCAGCAACCAGCTCATAAATGTTAAGACTAACCAATATCAGGGCTGACACAAACATATTATATTAATAGAGGAAAAGAAAACGCCAGCGACCAAGGTCTCCCGCCTCCAGAAGCGGAGACTGAACAACCGCCAGTGTCAACATTCATGTACATGATTGTTATCAAAACCAGACCTTAGTGTCTTACTTGTCTAAATATGAATTAGACACTCATTTGGTTATGACTTTGTCTCAACCAAGTTGATTCTCAGGTCACTACAAATCAATTAAAACTCCGTTGAACTTTTTATATTTCATAATTTTTTTTACGTATTTTTATATTACACATGACTTATTTTTTTGATGTGTTCAGATCCGATCAGTCAATTCAAGTGGTCAAACTTGTTGAACCTAAATTAAAAGACTCGCTAGTCCAAAATCAATGAATGGTAAGAAGTAGGCTTTTTGACCCTTATGATCCTTAATTAATAATTAATTACCAAATTGCCCTTCATTCAAAACTATTTCAAAAATTTACCCTCCCCAACAAACATAACACCAATCTGCCCTTGTTTGACCGTTGACCACGAAGCCTACCCGGGTACACTCCTCCCTACCCTGGTATTTTTTGAAATTTTTTATCTACCCGGGTAGAGAGGGGTGTACCCGGGTAGAGTTCTTGAATCTGGAAAAATGGTTGAATTCGTTACCCGGGTAATAAGGGTTGTACCCGGGTAAACATCCAGAGTAGCGTTTTTATATAAATGAAAAAAACTGTGACAGGCATGGTTCATGGACGATAGCAACGAAGATCCAAGGCTTCCTCGCCATGGCAGCCCTAATGAATTTATTTCCATCAACCAATTAGCAGGTCATTACTCTCTCTATCTATCTATAGTTTTACTTAGTTGTGACGTTGCAGAAAAATGGTGAGTTTTGCAGAATTGGGACTCTTATACTGGAAGCTGAATCCAAATGATGTTGAGGAAGATTAGAGAAACTAGGGGATACAATTACATGGTAATGTTGTATTAATTTTTTACTAATTTCATTTTGTTTTCTGTAATCAGAAGGTGCTTCAATTTTTTGCGTTTTCATTAACCTGATAGAAATATAAATCCGAGGAGAATATGAATTGGAAAAAGAAACTTTTTAGCATCTCGGTTATATAAAAACGCTACTCTGGATGTTTACCCGGGTACAACCCTTCTTACCCGGGTAACTAATTCAACCATTTTTCCAGATTCAAGAACTCTACCCGGGTACACCCCTCTCTACCCGGGTAGATAAAAAATTTCAAAAAATACCAGGGTAGGGAGGGGTGTACCCGGGTGGGCTTCATGGTCAACGGTCAAACAAGGGCAGATTGGTGTTATGTTTTCTGAAAGGGTTAAATTTTCGAATTAGTTTCATATGAAGGTCAAATTGGTAATTAATTATTAATTAAAGGTTATAAGGGTAAAAAAGCAGTAAGAAGTAAGAACCCTTAGTGATAGGGCTGTTCTTTTTTTTGAAAACTAAACTGAAAAAAGAACAGCGCTGTTCATCTTAACCCGTATCGATTTGGGTCTGAAAATCTCTAGTTTGGGTTGGGCTGCAGGTTCTGAAATTTCATCCTGATTAAACTCGATTTGATCCCACGGAATCCGACTTTTTTTTCCTCAATTTTTCGGAGACTAAAGACCTTCACCCCGAGTATTTTTCATTCTTTTGAATTTTAAAAAAAAAAAAAAAAATTCGAATTTAGTCCATGTGTTGATTAAAAAGTATTAAGTCTCTCCTGACTATAGTCTCCTTAGCGAGCCGTCCGAAGTTGCTCATTGACATTATTAAGGCAATGAAGCTCGAAGGTGAAATTTGCAACGGTCATTAAATAAATAAGACTTTATCAAATTTGTGAACAACTATACAAAGATGAATACAAATTGTTTCACTTGTTCGAGTTATATCGAAAAAATGAGAGCTTATAATCTAGTTCAATCTTCTTCTTTTTTCTTGCTGGAATAATCTAGTTCAATCTTTGGTTTAGCTGTTGTCTCATGTTTAGCTATGCTCGTACGTAGTCGTTCAACAATTACCCAAATAAGAACATAAAAATTACAGTTTTAAGACATGCTTAAAAAAAAGAAAAAAGCCTTAAAAAGGAGACGGAAACGAATGTTTGAGAAATTTCTCTTACTCCGTACAGATTTTTCCATTTGCCTTCTCTAAATTCGGAATAATAGATTGAAATCATAGTTTTATTATTTAGTATGTTTGAGATAAGATTAATACGGGAATAAAATAAACTTATAATAGTTATCATTCTATTCATTTCTACTAGAATTTCCCAAACATGCAATTGAAAATTTCTTTCAAATTTCATCAATGAACATCTAAATAATGATATATAAACTTTATTATATTATATACTTTTCCATTCTATTCTATATCATTTCGCTCCACTCAACATAAATAATTCAAACAAAACCTTGACCATGTTCCCTTCCTTAGCCGAACGGCATATTTACTTTGTCATAATGGGGGTCTGTACTTGATGTTGAGGATGATTCCTTGTTTTTTCTTTTCGTCTTTTTGGTGCTCAATACCAAGAGTCACATAGTCTTTTTGGCCAAACTCATGAATGTTGCTTCATCTTGCCAGCTAGACTTGCATTCGTTTTTAATTCTAATGCCAGGTTACGTCATTTGGTACAGATACAATGGTACTGGTATACTAACCCAAGCACTCACATCACATCTTTTCTAGCTGGAGGTTGTCTTCATCCTTGGGTCCATTAGTCGCGGAAACTTATTGCTTCCCATTACGGTAAATAAGCGTTGCTTTTATCTTGCTATAAAAAATAAAAATTGTCTTTTATCTCCACCCACTCGTATGGGTCCATTTGTTTGTTTGTTCTACAAATAGATGTGATCATATGAATGAAAATAGAAAAGTCCAATCGAAATAGAAAAAATGCACCAGCCGGGAATCGAACCCGGGTCTGTACCGTGGCAGGGTACTATTCTACCACTAGACCACTGGTGCGGCTATAGCAACGTCGTTTTAATTAAATAATATAATATCTTTCACAAATGTATTCCCCTACCCCACCCTTAAGTATCTTTACACCCCTACTGTTTTTTAGGCATATATAGAATAATTACAGGTGACATTTTTAAGACATAGAGCTTTTTTTAAAAAGTATAATTGATTTACCTTTATGTCCAACCCTCGTGAATACTAACTCTTATTTATTTGATCATGTTTATGTACGTTCCCAGTGTTAGTACATGCCCATAAATTTAACTTCGCTAATTCCAGCCATAGATTTTCCAACCACATCAGCAAAAATGGGACAACGATAGAGGATTTAAAAAAAAATAAAAATAAATGCATTTCTTACAATTAATTGAGAGGCCAACATTAACGAAAAGATGTCAAACGATAAACGGGTAGATTGGGAGAATTGCGGGGCAATAAATAACGCATGATGATGCATCTGATATAAGAAATGACGCACAATAACGAGCATGACCAAAACGGGCATGACATACACTTAAAAACAAGCAACAACTAATGTACATTTGTAGTCCAAGTCAAGCAGAGATCCGTCCATGGCCTGCTCAAATTTCCAAATATATACGCCTTCTATTTGCTCCCTTCTCTTTCAACTTTCTTTTCTCTTTTGTTCTATAATTTGCATCTTCATTATTCATATCCTTTGAAAGTTTGATTAATGTACACGGAAGTTGTTTCATGAATACTACCTATTATGTAGGACACGCGCAAAGATGTGCCATATAATAGCTCTAATATTGTGCTCTTGTAGCTGCATTAAGTATTGTACCTTATCTAAACATCTTATTTAAACCAATTTTGTTTTTCTGTAAGACTCGTGTTTAAACCTCCTCAAAAGTTGAGATGAAAAGAATTCTGTGAAATAAAATGGATATGCTGAAAGAAGAATATACTATACAACTTAACTTCATTACGAGGGAATCCTGGAGTATTAATATAACTGTCCATTTGTGATACGTACAAAGTTAAAAAATAATCTCGTTACAAAAAACAGCAAGGATAGGAAATTTCTTTTCTCAACTCAAACCACTATGATCAATCCTGATTATGGTTAGATTGGTTAGGTTGGTTCGAGTCAAATAATCATGTTGAGTTGTTGACGTTTTCCTGCCTTTTTTTTATATAATTAAATTCTAATAAATTACATTATTTTATATATTTTTTTGAAAACAATCACAATAATATTAGCTTTTATTTAAATATTTTTCGATATAAAATTTATGGCGATTGTATTGATGATGGTTTTATTTGATAAGAAAATTTTAAATTTGATCTTTGAACCGATTAAGGTTGAGTTGGTTTTAATTAAATAAAAATAAATTTATCTATCAACCTAATTTATATTTTATAGATTTTTAAAGATGGATTTGGATTGAATTGGTTGAGTAATCGCGCGGCTGATCAATCCAAATTCATAATCACTATTCACCTTTAAACAATAACTCTTTCAAATAGAAGCCAGCTAGAATACTCAATCAAAAATAAACCTAAATAGTTCAAATCACATAATTCCTTGATATATGACAAAATATGGAGAAAAGAATGATATGAGGAAAAAAAGACATAACTATCACTTGAAAAAGGTTCTATGTATAAATCCAAGGAAAGCATTTACCGCAAGCATATTCACTTTGCAGTGTGAAGCTACGAAGCACCGACTCAGACACGGCGTTTTCGATACGTTCTCGATACAACCGTTAATTCGTTGATACGATACAATACGTTTCCGATACGCGTATCGGATACGTTGAATTTTTTTTTTCGGAGTATCGGTGCTTCATAACGCGTATGAGATGCCATTTATTTTGGGTGTGTGAACATAAATATAACTTCATTATTATACGAGGAGTTATATCTTCTTTCTTTAAAGAAATTTAGAGCTTCACCGAATCTATTAAACAGCCTGGGAAAGAAAAGGATATCAACCTGGGGGGGAAAAAATTCTAAGAGGGGCTTGTTTCAAAGGCTTCAACTCACATCACTCTCTCCCCACTCCCCAAGAAAAAGACCACACACAAAATGATGTTTTCTTAGATATAGAGATGAATAGATTATATTATCCAAAAAAAAAAAAAAGAGATCAATAGATTATTGCAACTATTGTACTCCTACACAATAACATAAATATCATTTCCACTCATTGTTGTAACAAAATGTTATTTCTCATTTTTCGCAAAACAAAAAGGGCAAATAAATTGTAGGGGGAAAAAATGGTGAGCAACAAACATTTATATTTGTGTAATTTTCATGAGTGCAAGATCCTACGAGCTAAAATGCATGCTAATCAAGATAAATCATTTTCTTTATTGCTTCGATTCTAAGTAAACATAGATATACGTTCACATCCAAACGGCTTAAACCATATCTACTAGAATATGGTCTTAAATTGCATTTAAAGAAACAACTTTTTTTTTTTTGGTAGATAAAGAAACAGCTTTACAGAGCTATATCTCCTACTGATGACTACATAGCTAGACCGTTTTTCGGTTTGAGCAATTACTCATTGTGAGTCTATAATAATCGTATTCACTCCCTCTGTTGAGATATATAGTCCCACATTGGTTGTATGTGCAACTAATATAGAGTTTATAAGGTCTTGGGCACTCCCACTCTTTGAGCTAGCTTTTGGGGTGGTGTATCCCAAGGTTCTTTACATGGTATCAGAGCCTCGCCATCCCCCACTTTCTCTCGTAGAATTTCTTAGCACAGGTAGGCTGAGCCTGTTGCATTATCCACTCTTCAAGCCCAAAGGGCTCTCGTGTGAGGGGGCATGTTGAGATATATAGTCCAACATTGGTTGTATGTGCAACTAATATGGAGTTTATAAGGTCTTGGGCACTCCCACTCTTTGAGCTAGCTTTTGGGGTGGTGTATCCCAAGGTTCTTTACACCCTCCTTATTAATTCCATTATCATTTGTCTTTGATTTTGTAAATAGTTCAAACAATACAAATAAGATGGACCAGAAACGATAGAACCTTCATATCATGGAAACACGTTTGGGAATTATATATATGCTTAGAGTTATTAGAGGCTTATGAATTTATTATAAAAATAAAATAGCATACGCATATACATTAAGTAACCTAGTTTTCATTGCAACAAAAGCATAGGAAGATACATACAGAAATTAAAACAAGAAAGATCGTAGCAAAAGAAACATTTCGCATAATTAAAAAACTTCAAGTAGAACCCTAGACAATAGAGGGGTAAATATTTTCTGGAGAAAACGTATATACTGAGTACCTTCCTCATCAGAAACTCGAATAACTCCCCTAATTTTCTTCTTCCTTGAAGAAGTCCCCATGCTATAGAAATCTTTCTTCCCACTGTTTCCAACTTGCAAGCCATCTTTCTGTAAAATTGCATGCCAAAAATATAGGCCTAAAAACCAGACATGCTTATATATATATATATATATATATATATTATATATATACTTAGTAGGTAAATAGTAGAATATATATGGACTATTGCTAATTAAGGGTGATGACCAAGTCTAAGCTCCAAATCGAGTTCATCCTCTTCACTGTTGTTTTCAATCTTGTCTTTATTTTCATGTTCACATAATGGATTAGTGTACAAACTCAAATCACTTTTCCTCCAATCTTGTCCAAAGAGGTGCACCCGATGATCCCTTTGGTTTTCTCCACACAAGACCTCAGTACTATAGTGTACATGTGAAGGTGATCTAGTACCACATGCGTATGCAGGAAAATATATTTGATGGTAATTGTTATTAATGTCTACCTCACGATGATCAGGACCAGTGGAATAGTAATTCCCTCTTCCAAGATTGCTTGGAATTGCTGAATAGAACCCTAGATCTGCATAGTTGTCCACATCAACCTTATTGCTTGAACTTGAAGGAGGGAAATTAGGTTTGGTCTTGTTATTGGCTCTATCTTTTCTATGTATGTTCATGTGTCCACCTAAAGCTTGTGCAGTGGTGAAGCCTCTCTTGCAAAAGACACACTCATAGGATCTTCCAGTTCCCATGTCATCATTCTGTTCAGATGATCGATCAATTTCTTCACTGGAGCTCTTGGAGTCTTCTTGGTAGCTGAATTCCATGGCAAACAATGATAATTGGGATCTATATGAGAAATAGAGTCTTAGAGGGAAGGTTATTATAGAAAGGAGAAGGTGGAGAAGGTTTGAAGAACATGACAAATTAAGGACATAGGCATTACCTAAAGATAGTCAAGTGAATATGGTGTAAAGTGGAAAAGTCTTAGAAGTTTGCTTAGAGATTTATTCTGTTAGCCGGCTATGGTTTCATCTATAGCTAGCAGCAGATAGGAATATTTCTTTTTTTATTATTAAATTTTTTTTTTTTTTGTGGGGTTATTTTTTTAATGATAATTATTCTTTATTATGATTGATTTGTCTGCCATTTGGACTCTTGTGCTTTTCGTCTAGCTAATTCTTTAATAGGAACATATTTAATTATCATTTTAGTGCTTCTTTCTACATGAACAGGGATGTTAAATAGGCGAGGAATGAACATACATAGAAGAATTAATTCTCAAAAAAGGTGCGGGACACGCAAATTAGATAAGCCAAGACATGCCACTTGAGAGGCTTCCATCAAAGGTGAAGGACGTGCGAATTGGATTAGTTCTTCTCTTTTCTAGGTATATAATAATCCTTAATATCAAACAATATGTTTTTCACCAAAATGTTTGGCCACTTCCTCATGTTAATTACTTTATTAAGTTTGTATTATATATCAAAACAACCTAACCTTATTGCCTGGGAGCTGGAGGCTGGGGGCAGGTGGAGTGGGTTTAGTGATTTTGAAACCTGGCTATTTCTAAATATCTTTGATTCACGCATTTCTAAATCGATAGAAATTAAATTGAAATCTAAACTGTCATGACGAAATCCTTTGTGAATAAACCAAAATCACGTTGATAGCTTTTACTTTAGTATATATACTATGGGTTGGTTTTTTTTTAAGTTACTTTAGACAACTTTGTCTAATGTTCACCGAAATGATGTCGTTTTGATGCAGAAATCATGATATATTTATAATTTTAATTTATTTTAGAGTTATAATAGTCTTTATCATTTTAATTTTTTAATTTTTCAACCACAAAACAACATCGTTTTGATAAATACTAAACAAAATTATTTAAAGTAACATTAAATATTTTTTCCCCCTATACTATATAACTTTTCACAAACGGATGGCTTTTTCTGGAAGTAAATGGATATCGTGATTTCTTGTATATATCTCCAAAGATGCCTAAAGCTAACTTACACCGAAAAATCTATCAAACATATATATTTTTATACATAAATGGGTGTTAGGCGAGTCAAGCGAGAGACAACCATCAATGTGCTAAGATACATCAATCATAGCATGTGAGTCTGATACTTCGTCTCAACTCAAAATCTTAAAGATTAAGATACATATCAACCCTAACACATTTGATGTGCTCTCCTTGATCAATGGAAGCCTCTCTAAGTCCTTCAGACTCAAGTACTCAATCCGCCTCTCGCCAAACACTTGACTAGTCCAAGTCCATGGCAGGAGACAATCATTAATGGACTAAGTTACATCAGTCACGTCAAGTTGATCCGACATCACGTCTTAACCTAAAATCTTATAGTATTGAGTTTATGGATCCTCCCACTTATATCGACTTCACTTAACTCATTAGTAACCAATATGAAACTTCATCACACTTGAATATCCCAACAATAAAAAATGTCGAATTTATATGGATGTAAGTCTTACATCCGTTAATTAATAGTCGTTGGTTATACTTGCATCTAACAATTTTAACTCATTATGTCAGTCATTCTGCATGACAATATGGGAGTACACTGACCTAGGTTTTATGCCAAGTTTGTTTTTGTTTTGTTTTGTTTTTCTTTCCTGATGTTTCCAAAAATAAAGATTTTTTTATTAAAATTTAGTTGTTATAGTTTCTCAAATTATTAAAAAAATATCGGTCTTTTAAAAATCAAAATCTAAACGAGTGGAAATATAAAGACATTATCCAAAAAGTAAAAAGAAAAAACCTATAGAGATCAAAATCTAATTGTAAGAAACTCTAAGGACTAAATATTGCTTTACTTTAATTAAACTAAATAATTCATAAATTTTTAGTTAATAACTGAAACTTTTATGATTTGGTAACTAACTCTTCTAAAATTTTAAGTTGTTTGATTTTATATGTCGAGCACGTCTTTTCATCCTCCTTATACTTAAGTTTAACATTTTAATTTATAAGACTGGAATGAAAATGATATATCTTACATATACTTGATCAATGATGCTTTGATACCATGACAAAAGGTGAATCCTCAATAGTAGTTTTATATCTATTATAATGGATCCTTTAGATTTTCATGTGTATTTTTTGATAATTAGTTTGGCTGCATGCATAAGGAAAGTAAAATTCTTAAATATTATATTGAGGAATAGAAATAGGTAATCATTGTAATTAACATGATAAGCGACCCTATATTTTTGAACAAAAGCAAATGTATCCATCAAAAGAGTTACAGCCCCGACATGTACCGAAAGGATTACGTGCAAAGGCCCCTAAGCAAGCTGGAAAAATTGAACTGTGGTAACTTATATTTTACATGTCCAATCTCTATTTGTACCAAGCAATCAGATGTTAATTTTTTTTTTTCCTTCTTTTGCCTCTTGAGGGGCCAATTAACACACTGTCGAAAAGGATGCCACATAGACTTTTCCTAGGTATGACGCAGCATGACTCTGCTCATTGAGATGACACTTAATTAATTGGTTTACTATATGATAACTATGATCCTGTGATGAAACAGATTCAAAAGTACAGCAAATTATATGCTATATGGAAGAGCTTCACTCACCATATATAGTTGTATTTGCTCGGAAACATGAAGGAACCTTCCTGACATACAAGTGGAAGAGACTAATTAAGAGAGAACATGCGCCCATTTGTAGCTTGTACTTGTCTTTAGGTATAAACTTTCGTAATATGTCAGCACACCGTCATTATGTCATCACAATCAACATCATTAATCAAGGGGTTAGAAAAAAAAAAAAAAAGCCCACAACCTAAGCTAGTTCCTCTAATTATATTTATGATGCCTGTCTATGTCAGTTTTGCAATTGAATTATATATTATTGCATATTTAATACACACATATATATGTATATTTTCCCTATGACGTTTTGGATAATGAAAGTACTCTCCTCTTAATTAATTTTCTTTTTAATAAATATATATTTACACACCACTTTTTTTAAATTATTTTTACATCGGTTGGTAATTATAAATATATAGTTAATAACATGTGTTATTTGGTTTAAGAAATAATAATAATTGATTATTATTTTTTTAATTAAACAATATTTGTTGTTATCTACAAACTTATTCATTACTAACCCGGGGGGCGGGAGGTGAAGGACATAGAAGAAAAGTGATATGTAATAACAGTCATTTCCCTTCTTTTTCACGGGAATTCACCTCAGGGGTTGCACTACTCTACCATGTATTTTGACTTTGAGGATGAGGTAATATACATTATTAACCAATTACCAAACTGAATTATTAGTCATTTATTTCTTCATGCGCGTGTGTAGCAAAAAATGCTTACGCTAGCTGATTGATCATGTATATGTGTATCCAGTAATGTTTGCGGTTGCGTGTCCTGCGTTGCTATAACTCCCGCGGTGAGATATACTTTATTTTATGTCACAGTACGTTAGGTACCAAATCCCCTTTAGGAATATCATAAAATCCCCCAATTGATATGCATAGTGTAGTAGTCCTTTTTCTTTTTCTTTTTTAATAAATCACATGTATCTTTTACGCGAGGTGATAAGTGAAATCAAACATGTACTACTTGAACCAATCTCTTTAGTAGTAGTGTTCTTTTTCTATTTATATTTATATCACTTAATTTGAGGAGCAAAAATAATTTATTTACAACGGGTACATGATCGATTAAGTGCAAAGTCAAATACTATTGATTGGATTATTTAACTTTACTTATGGGGTATCACCGCATGATCAGTTATAGCAACCCTAAAAAATTCCATGTGGTCTGCGTTCAATTTCCTTTTCTTTTCAGTTCAAAATCAATTTTTTTTTTCGCATTTATCAATATTAAAAGACAAAGTTGCTTTTCATTTCAGGCATAGGCGACAGGTTTTCTATGTTGGCCTGCAATTATTTACAAACATCACAATTAGTTCAAGTCATAGATTTAATAACAAATAGTAAGAAAACAGTTTAATACGACTGTAACTTGCAGACACTTCCATGTTATAAATTATTAACTTTAAGAAAGCCAACAATTATTGAATTGACCTTCAAAATTCTTAATGCATCAATATTTTGTTAATTAATTAATTAGTTGCAGGTATATTTAGTATATTACTCTAGTTAGTTGCTTGAGCCTTGAGCTAGGTATATTTTGATTTCTATTTCATAATTGGTCCGTACATGCGTGATTAATGGCATTGTTAAGAATCAACCCGTGCATTATAGACTTATGGTGCAATTGAGACTGAGTATATACAAACTTATGGTGAGTTAATTTAATTGGGTATCAATTAGATATTAGTCTTCTGACTTAATCAACAAGAAACTTAACTTCCAAAAAAAAAAAATCAACAAGAAACTTATAAGAGGAAGAGATGGGATGTAAGACAATGACAATGACAAGAAAATGAATGACAACAACGTGAGTCTCATGGATTTCTCTACCAAATTCTCCCCTTTCTAATTTTTAATTTTTAATTTTTTTTTTGGTAAATAATTTTTGATTTTTACTTTTATAACCTTGATGTTTAATTTATCAAGCACTTTCTTTGCTTGCTTGGCATTACTAGTAAAAACACAGGTTAAGTAAAATTGGGATGGTATGATCCTCAATCTTTTCCTTATTGGACTATGTATATTTTATGTCACACACACATAGGTTAAGTGAAATTGGGATGGTATGATTCTCAATCTTTTCCATATTGGACTATGTATATTTCATGTCTCACACACACACATATATAATTGATGCCATGCTATAATTATTTGTAAACAAATTCTACAACTATAGTAAATTTA